CACCCAGTGCGCACATTTCCAAACACCCAGTGCGCACATTTCCAAACACCCAGTGCGCACATTTCCAAACACCCAGTGCGCACATTTCCAAACACCCAGTGCGCACATTTCCAAACACCCAGTGCGCACTTTTCCAAACACCCAGTGCGCACTTTTCCAAACACCCAGTGCGCACTTTTCCAAACACCCAGTGCGCACATTTCCAAACACCCAGTGCGCACTTTTCCAAACACCCAGTGCGCACTTTTCCAAACACCCAGTGCGCACTTTTCCAAACACCCAGTGCGCACATTTCCAAACACCCAGTGCGCACATTTCCAAACACCCAGTGCGCACATTTCCAAACACCCAGTGCGCACATTTCCAAACACCCAGTGCGCACATTTCCAAACACCCAGTGCGCACTTTTCCAAACACCCAGTGCGCACTTTTCCAAACACCCAGTGCGCACTTTTCCAAACACCCAGTGCGCACTTTTCCAAACACCCAGTGCGCACTTTTCCAAACACCCAGTGCGCACTTTTCCAAACACCCAGTGCGCACTTTTCCAAACACCCAGTGCGCACTTTTCCAAACACCCAGTGTGCACATTTCCAAATGCAAAATAAATTACTCAAAAATCTCTACTCTAGGCTATACCAGTACAATATAATGTAGCTTTTGTTTGTATATTTTTTCACACTGTTGTGCCACATGCCATTTGAAATTTCAGGTAAGCATTACTGTGTTACAAGAAGTTAATGCTTAACAGAATGGTATTGATTATATACAGCACTCTTATTGTTTTCTTTTTTCTTTAGGGCAAGTATGAGGAGGTGGAGCGATATTATCAACGTGCTTTAGAAATTTACGAAACTAAGTTAGGGCCAGATGATCCCAATGTTGCCAAGACCAAGAATAATTTAGCATCTGCATATCTGAAACAAGGCAAATATAAGGAGGCTGAAATTTTATACAAGCAGGTGCTAACCAGGGCGCATGAACGAGAGTTTGGGGCCATCGATGGTGAGTCGTGTTTTATTATTCATTAATCGAGATTGTTATTTAGTTGAAGTGTTTGTCGATTGCCATTTTAATGCATCACTAAAAATTTGCATTTATACAACCTTATTCTGTTCATTTTGTGATTCTCATTACTGCTCATATCAGTGGTTGCTTCAGCACAGCTCTTTGCTGTAGCTCTCAATACTCCCAGGTTGTTAGGTGCATACTTGTATTTATATAAATAACTTTTTTAATTATGACATACACTATGAAGAACACCTATGACATACAATGAGTCACAATAATGTGGCTGAAGATATGATGACCAAAGCACACATCAGAAGGTGGAAAAACAGCAACATTTCGGTCCATCCTGGACCATTATCAAGTCATGTGTTTATTATTAACACACGACTTGATGATGGTCCAGTGATGTACCGAAATGTTGTCATTTCTTCATCTTCTGATGTGTTTTTTTCATCATGACATACAATATTTAGGCTTCTAAAACAGTTTTAATAAGTTTGAAATATATATCCTGTGTGTGTGTGTGTATCAATGACTCAGGTTGAAATGTAAAACTGAGATGTGACTGTTAAACCAAGAAATTGTATTATTACATTGTGTAGAAATGGAGGGTGTCGAATAGACTCTCTTTAAATTTTGGGTAGTCTGATTTTTTATTTTTTATTTTACAATTACTCCCAAATTCATTCTTAAACTTTTTGTTTTTTGTATCTAGGTGATAACAAACCCATCTGGCAAGTAGCTGAAGAACGGGAAGAAAACAAGAATAAGGTGAAGGACTCTGCTCCATATGGGGAGTATGGTGGCTGGCATAAAGCAGCAAAGGTGGACTCCCCAACTGTCACTACTACATTGAAGAATTTAGGAGCGCTATACCGCCGCCAGGGCAAATATGAGGCCGCAGAAACCCTTGAAGATTGCGCCATTCGGTCACGTAAGGAGGTCAGCTGATATATCCCTGACCTACGATTAAAATAGATGTTGGTAACCGATTACATCTTCTCGCACTACATTTACATGCACACAAAAGCTCACATACGCCTTAACACACATAATCTTATGCATGTACAGACATACATACACAGACACTTTTATTTGCATAGCTTCTTGAAACAGGATATGCTCAGAAAAATAGGTATATATTACCAGATTGCCCCACAAAAGCATCCCCTTTGTGATGTTATTGACGGCTATATGAGCAAGTCATACATTAGTTGTTTTTGATGGAAGTACTGTTGATGTGATAGATACTTTTATGCATTGTTTTTGCCTAAAATATACATTAGATAATTGTATATATGAGGTTACCAGAGCCTTTGGCTTTGCATGTTGAATAGCACAACGAGACCTGATTCAACTCTGTGGACGTGGTTGGCTATCAGTGTCATATGCCTGTGTTCTCTGTATGCTGGGGCATTCACTGCAAATATGAACTGATACTATTAAGCAGATACTGTACATCATTTTGTTTATTTCCTCATTTTTTAAGCGAGTCTTTTGGAATGGTGTTTGATTTAATGCTAATTACAGTATCCTTTGAGTTTTCTCTTCCCATAAGGAAATGATGCTTGATTGTTTTGTTTTAGGACATTTTATATATACAGTATATATACAATATAAAATATATATATTTATATATAATATGAAGTAAAATAAAAGATTGCATTGCCATTCAGGTTGTCTGGCTATCGCTTTACAAATTAGTGTTTGGTACACACTGTTAACTATGTTATTAAAGGCGTACTTGAAGTAGCTGCTAACATATGACATATGGCTTGGGACTTCATTTATTACATTTTCTAATTTAACAATGTAAATGTGAAGCATGTAAACAGATGAATTCTATATGCTATATAGAATATAGTAAACTTTGCTATATGCTTAGTGGGATTTGTAACCAAACCTTATTCCAAGAAGTGTGAAATGCAGTTGAGTTTTGTAAATCAATGGTCAGGCAATGAATGGTCGTTTGAAGAAACGTACCTAGCTTATTCTGTCGCAGCATACAATGATTGTGCCAACAGGTTTTGAGATTTTGTTGCTTTGTAATGAGGGTAAATATTGTTCATTGATATTTACATTAAGTGAAATAGATTGCATTATCTGACAACACAAAAAGAGCTTCAAAGTTTTCACTGAATTTGCTTAAATCAAACATGAAACAATATTTATTCTTGGTATTCCTCTGGTATTTGTGTATGTTAGGAGATACTAGCATGTTGGTATGTGCACCAGTGGTCTAATGTGTGTGCGCGCCAATGGTCCTTCAGGCCGTCAATCTGGTCAAGGATGGGATGACACCAGAAAGCAGCCGACGACTCTCTGCTTCAAGGGACAGACTCCGAAGGGGGTCACGAGAGTCTCTTAACTCCGCTGAGTTTGATGCCAACGATGATGTAAGTAGATCACCACACTCCCATACTCACCATAAGCGCACACTCACACGCACGTAAGTGTAAGCTATCCAGTTTTCTGTCCCTCTTTTTCTTTAATGTCCTGGAATATTTGCCAACCATTACTGATCCTAGTAAACAATTTAAATCCTGTAATCTGATGCTGATTTCTTCCTTTGTGGCAATCAAAATTTGGGTCAAAATTTTGTAAGCCAATTTTTGTTGTATGTTGCCTTGACCAAAGTAAGTGTTAGTGTGTGCTCAAGCCCAGGTTGTCTACTTCTTTGAGTATTGCTCTTATAAAGAGCAGTTGTATATTTATCTAGCATGCTATACTCGAAGGAGTTTCTCCCTGGGATCTTGTATGGGATGTGTGTATTCAGATCTAGTGGAAGCAGTGCGTGGACACCTCACAGGATGGCAGGGAAGTGCACTCAATGTTCTGCCACCTCTGGACTACATCCACTTCTCAGGCTAGGTCATAACATTTATGGAGTTTCAGCCGTTGTGAGCTCATAAAGAGCTGGAGATGCTACCATTGAAATCAACTGTTTACTTGCTTGGCAGTCTTATTAGTGTGAACCAAGGCATAGGAATAACATCTTAAATTAGTTATTAAAAAGATGTGAAGAAAATTTTATTTGCGAGGAGTTATTTTCTATTAAGGCATGGTTTTTATTTCTGTTGTTCAGCTGTCTGTCTTGTGATTTAAATTGTTTGGGTATATTTTGAATTTCAAGTCTTTCAGTCAGTGTAGTATGTTTTACTGTATGTAAGATGGCCTTTTTGTCTTCTTATTCAATAATAATTACATCATGCATTAAGTAACACAAATTATATATATACATATATATATAATTATTATACAAGTAAATGTTTAAATCTTGATTACATTAAGTCAAAATTGGTTACACATTAAATCAATTGAATTTCATCATACTTGATAATATAGTTAAGAGGCAAAAAAAAAAGTATTTTAAAATTCATAACTGGAACCAATTAAAGAGAAGCTTATTTCCTTTATTCTACATTGACTGCAGCCTATATTTATATAACTTTAAAAGTGTTTAAGGTTAAATGTATTTTTTTGTTTCTCTTTAGAAAATTGTCTCTAGCAAATTCTACTTAATAACAGAGTGAGGGGTTAAGAATATGAAGCATGTGGATTACTCACATTGCTGGCTTCACCTACTGTAGTGCCGGGGTAGTTACACAACTTGAACGTGAGGTGGCAGGGTGGCGACAATGTAATTAATTCGTGTAAGGATGCACCATGGGTGGTATCATTTGGTTGTAATATTCATGAATAAATCACTTGTTGTGGAAAATATATTTTAACATTTTCTTCATTCTCACATATAAGAAAACTGTGTGTGTGTAGGAATGTGCCGCCTTGATCTCCTTTAGTATCTAATGAATGGTAATACATAATTTCTCAACCATATTAGCATGTATTACTGATACATCAGTAGTTAAAATAGGGATAAAGAATGAGTATACAGTACATGCATGAGCAGATGCATGCTTACACAGTAGATCAGTTACTCTTACTCAAATTCTCTAAAGGTGCATCAACTTTAAAATGTTCAACTCAACAATTTGACTTACAAAATAACCTCCCCTTCCCCCCCTCCCCACAACTAAAATTTTTTTTTTTAAAAGCTATTATAGACTATAGCAGTCATAAATATATCATTTACTGTTTTGTTTTTGTTAGAATTGCAGATGGTAGGGGCAACTTAATAAATTATTAGTTTAATAATAGCAATTACTAATGAGAGTGGTTCCAATTTTGAGTTAATATTTTATTTAATACTGAATACACTAGTACCATAAAATATTCTAGAGTAGTCTACTTGAGCTCGGGACTGGGGAATCCACCCCTTTCACATGAACTCGAGTGCGTGGCATCCACCCCTCCCACCTGAGCTCAGGGGTGGGGCATCCACCCCTCCCACCTGAGCTCAGGGCTGGGGCATCCACCCTCCCACCTGAGCTCGGGTCTGGGGGATGTTCTAGACAGCTTCTGCCATCACACTTAAATTGCAGCAGAAATTGCAGCAATGCAATCATTGCTTGTCCTATTGACTAAAACCTTACACATGCATGCTAAAGCTGACTACATAGGCAAGTGATACTAGAGTATTAAAACCTAAGGTGCATAATTGATAAGGGCTAAGGACATTTGGCAAGCCAAAAGCTTCTTCATTAATTTTTTATACCAGTGCAAAAAACAGTTGTCAAAATAACATAACAAATAACCCAGCCCCCCAAATTTGAAATGACAGTGACAACATTTTCAGTTCGTCATGGACCCCGTCATAACTTGGTAATGGTCTAGAAAGAACTGAAAATGTTGTCACATTCACACCAGGTGAATGTGACGACATTCACAACATTCAAGGGAATTACCGTGTGTGGGTTGGGTTGTTTATTATGCCAGTGACATAGAGCAGTAAAACACTGCTGCATTTTGGAATAACATAGAAATACTGTATAATATAAAAAAAATAGTTTCATATTTCAAATACCATTATTTTTTTTTAAAGGTTCTTTTGACTCTGTAGCAAAGATAGTTAAAGTCCTACATTCTCTTAGATTAATCTAAGATATTCACCATCCCAACCACCAACCATCTTCATGTGTTCAAGCGTGAAAGTAACCAGGTCTCGTGGGTGAAATTCATACCAAAGAACTGTATATAATGCCGCCAGATTAGATTTAATGGAACAAAATATACATAAGAATTATAGACATAAGCATTAGCTTTGTAAAAATACAAATTCAAATATTAAAAGTTAGAACAAATATATACCAGTACTGTATATATAAAATGAGAAATAAGAATTAGAGTAAAATACAAATATAAAAATATAAGAAATTTGGCACTGTTGGTAAGCCTCGTTAAAAAAAAAGTGGTGAAATGGGAGTCACAACTTTTGTAGTGCATTTGAAGTAGAACAGGGATCTGCCCGTGATCTGCCAGACCAGTGTGTTTCTTTTTGTTAGTCGTACATATTTTGTTTCCGTTTTTAAATCTCTTTAAGTTGATCATTTAAATAAATTGGTAAGATGGGTAAAGCAAAGCAAAATTTATTTTAAATTTACCAAGCAATGGTCTAGTACAGCTAGTCACATCTCTCGATAAATCTTGTCTAATAGCTCACCAAATACTCGAGATTCTTCTGCAAATTGATTTACTTTTTCCTATTAAAAACCAAAAAAGTGAGTTTAATAAGTTTATGAGGGCTGCAATCAAAATTCAAATTATGCAAGTGGGATTTGAAGATCTGACCAAGTTGGCAGACCAAATATTCAATATTTTGTGTGTGAAAGATACAATTTGTTAAACTCCGTAGCAAACCTAGGCCTTCTTATATTTTTAGACTATCACTACGCAATAGTAAGACACTATTAATGATATTACATCTATTGTAGCACTAAAATTAGATAACCATTATATCAGATTGATTATTGACTAGGAAGAATTTGTTATTAAATAGGTATGAAGAACATTTTATTGCATTGTTGGAATTATGTCACTTGCATTTTTGCAAATGGTGAAATGGTATTTTTGTTTATGGAGGATATCTGGCAAGATCTTTTTATAATTCAGTTAATTTTAGTTGTTACTTTTTGGGCAGCTGGTTGTTAAAACACCCAGGAGCTAATGGAGTAACCAGAGTAATTACTGGTCACTGTAGTTACTTTTAGTTTATATTGTGTAGAATTTGTTCAGAAGTAATATATTTAAGCTACTCTTGAGTAAAACTACAGGTATTACCTTAAAGTAATTTTGACCTTTCCGTGTTGTAAACTTTCCTTGCATTACAGTTGTGGTCGTTGTAAGGTAGTCTTTACTTATTACTTATATTTTATTTTGCTGTAGTTAATACCATTTGTCACCAGTCTCAGCCATTACTGTGGGAACCAGTGAGCTGAGAGCTCAACAGTAAAATTTTTACAAAAATTACGAGATGCAGAATATTTTAAGTTTGTAGTGTAATTATGTAGGAAGCTAATGTAATAGAACTGATAAACTAATCAACATAAAATTCTAATTTTGCATATAAATGCACGACTTTCTGCAGTATTTTAATAGCTGGTAATTTTTGTTTAGTTCTATGAGAGTTGTGCGTGCACTGCTCTTCATTTGCAGACGTTCTGAACACGTTGATGAAGGTGGTGGGATCTGATAGTCATCAACTCGGCTTACTGGTATCTCATTAGTGTGTGTGCGCAGATAAGGAGGAAGATTTCGGTGCCAACTGGGCTGATTGTCTTGGGTACTTCAACAAATGAGTCAGAATAGTGTATAGAGAGAGATGTGGTTGAATTTATATAAGAAACATTAGAAAAGATGAATATGGTTGATAATTGGAGTAATTTATTGAGCATTTTGTCTTAAACTGAGCTGTTATCAGTATGCAATATCTAAGTAGCATTACTGTATTTGACTTTGAATCTTGAAATGTTCTTTGATAAAGTGGATTCCTAAGCTTTCATTTGATTATAAAAGAGTAGCTTGAGCTATATTTAACTTCATTGTTGCTTTGATGAGTAAATTAAAAGCTTGACTATCCAAGTGGCAAACAGCTGGGGTGGCACAGATTCTTTCATCATTCCCAGACTGATGGCTCAGGTGCATTCTCTTTCTCCCCAGCCCCCAAACTTCCCTTCCCCCATGGGGTCTACCACTTCACAAAGATCGCAAGACGACGCACGCCACACCGGTATTAAAAAAATCTTCCACGCTTTCGGCTTTCAGTCCTGAATGAAGCACAAGCAGAATGCGCTCAACCCACGCCTGTCTTGGACTCTTTATTTTTTTATTTTATTTTAAAAGACGCTGGCTGGTGGCTGGTAGTGTAGAACCCTCCTCTCCAACCCCTCCAGAGACATAGTCTGCTGTATAGGCAGTTATCCCAGCTGAGAATGGCCTGAGCATTGGGTTGTCATATTTTTAGGGTTTTATTTATTTATGATATTTAAAGTAATGTGTT